CCTAGGAGTAGTGTTAGGTTGTAAGCAGAATCCATTCATCAATATATCATACGACCCTTGATTTTCAAGGCGCCGAAGCACCATCCTTGTTTGTTCGTTCATTCACCCCATATATCATACGACCGTCGCTCCCTGAGCAGCGCGCCGGAGCACCACCCAAAATCCACCACCAACACCATCACTCGACGGCCTTGTAGTTCAGGCCGTGAACCTAACAGCCGAGACCAGTTCCTCTCTCGGCTACAATCGTTTGACCAGGAAGACAGATCAAACAGGCGCAACATTCATCCATCCAATCCTCATCGAAACATCAACGCACGGTAAACCGTGCTGGCACGCCCGCACACAACCGCACCGCACCCAAAAGCAGGAAACCCCGTGTTAACGCACATCCCCTCGGCCCGGAACTCCAGGCCGTGAGATTTGCGCGGCAGACACTTTAATTATATTGTCTTGCTTATTTGTATGATTTATTGTTTACATGCAAGAACCCTCCTCTGGGGCAGTGTTCTTCATGTATATTTTATAATTGCCTTTGTTATGATTGGATCTGAATGGATTTGTTTATTTCTCTCAATAAACAAAAAAAATTACATTAATCGGAGAACTCCGAATTAATTGTGCTAACAAGTAATTAACACTAATATAAATCATATTTATTCCTACTAAGCACTCCAAATTAACTCATAAACTCTTCTCCAGATACCTGTGTATGCACATATTGGCAATCTTCCACACTTGAACTGAAAGGAGGCATTCAGCTACAACTGCTTTTCTCCTAATTTAGATGCTGCAGCTAAATATCAAAGTAAACAAATTAATACCCGTCAGTTTGGAGAAAAGAAAAATTTGCAATAAGAAAATAATTATAAAACGACATTAATGGTGAGAAAGAAAGAGTACCCGCGAGCTTATTGAAATCGTGCCTCAGGTAGAGTAAATAGATAGTCGGAATATAATTGGACAAGGATTTCAATCCCAAATCTAACTAATAAAACCTTGCAACAGAAGTAAATTAACACAAGGATTTTTGTACCCAATGGTACGAGGAAAAAACCCAACCGGGAAAAACCTCTAGAAATCCACTAAGAATGGACTATTACAAGACTCAAGAAGATAAACTCTAGCCAAGAATCTATCCAATACTTTTGTCTTGCCCTACTCAGTCCTTGCTTGAACTCTCTCGAATCGATGATCCTCACGAACAAGCATGCCCACACACAGCTTCAATTGCACACAGCTTCCAATATGGAATATGAAATATGAAGATGCAAACTAGAAGTAAAAAGATTCACAAAGTTGCTTTATCATTCTAATTTTTCATGAACTCACCTTTGCTTCTCTCAATATAAATCTCTCAAATCAGTTTTTGCAAAAGTGAGTAACAAAGGTCTTCAAGCTTTGTTTTATGTCAAGAGAAATCACGTTCCTAAAAGAGTAGGAAAAAGTAGAATTGGTTTTAACGTGAAAAAGAGGAAACCAATTTTGCTAATTGATTTTATTATGAAATTCATTCCTATTAAAACTGAATCACAAAAATATAGTTTTCCTAATATGATATGCAAATGCAAATTACCTTGTAGACATAGTCAACCCTTGATATGCTCAATCTGGATAAGTCTTGTGGCCCAAGTTAATTTGCCTAAAAACTAGGCCTAAATCTACACAACGAGGACACAATTACAAGTCTAGGAAATTAAGCCAATTCCTAAGTAAATTCACATTTACACTTATCTATTGAGCATATGCTAACTTTAGTTGCCACTTGATCAAAGCTATCCTCACATAAAGCCAATCATTTAAATCATTCAAGAACTTGAAGCATGCGTATCTCCATGGCCTGTTGAATATCAAAGTGCCGAAAACTCCCGAAAATCCAACATCAAAATGTTTATAAACCAAAGCAGGGGCTAGATTCACTGGTCATAACTCCAATTTCCCAAGCATCAGCCAAGCAACGGAGAAATTATACAATAGTATGGTACTACCACGTGGGAGTACGCACAAATTGCATAACGACATGTGATGTGGCTGTCTTTTAAGAGAGAGAATGTTTACATCTAGATTTAATGATAACGCCATTTGTAACCAACTGTTTTGATTTGTTAAAAAAATTAAAGAAATCCTAAGACATAATTACTTTTATCGAAATCTGCATCGTTGTTCTGAATAAAAATAAAAATAGAACTTATGCACCACCGTTCTGAGAAGAAGGAAGAATAATGGTGCAGCCATACCGTTCGATTGCTGCAGGTTATTTATTTTCTGATTTCTGAATGTTATTTTTATTCGCCCAGTTTTTCTCTTCTTCTTCTTTTTTTTGGTGCTGATTGCTTCATTTTTTTCCTTTCCCGACTTCTGAAGTTGTTTTTTTTATAAAAAAAAAAATTTAGGGAGTTTCACTAAAATACCCAAAATGGGGCTGAAATTATAAAAATACCCAACACCCAAAACACTTTATAAACATACCCAAAACTCATCATTACACCCACTCAAAACCCATTTATAAACATACCCAAAATCCATCATTACACACATACCCAAAACCCATTTTGGGTATGTTTCTATGTTTAAATAGTGCTTGGGTATTTTTATAAATACATGTCTAGAATTGGGTATTTTTATAAATATCTAAAAAATTTATTTATCATTTTGATTTTCTGCAGGTTTTTTTTTTTTAAAAAATTTCGATTTCTGCAACATGTAGTGAATTCCCACAACCGTTCGGAAAAAGACGACGCGAGATCTCATCCTCAGGCTACAAATCCTACCCATGAGACCAACCTTTCCCCGTCTCTCCTGTGTGCTCTTCTTTCTTTTTCTTGTTAAATAATTCTTGGCATCTTCTTTAATTCCGATTTGGGGTTTAATACATTTTGGCTTTTCTTTGTGCAGGTTCCAATTTCTTGTTTAAGTTTCCTCAATTTTTGTCAAATCTGAATCTTACTGCAATTTTTTGTTCTTTTTTATTTTTTTATTTTTGGCGTTCATGATTTGCTTCACTTTGTGAATCCAGGTCCGTAATGTATTTAAGCTATCAGATTCAACACAATTAGTGAAGATTATGAGATTCAGTTTAATTTTCTCTCTCAACTATCTAATTTTCTTTGTAACGAAACACCTTTTTCCGTGTGTTCTTCTTTTTTTTTTTTTTTTGGTGAAATAAGGGAAACCCCCAGAAAACAACTAAGCCCCGCACATGAGTCGAGGCCTAGCAAGACCAAGTAAGTCATCCATCAACAGATAGCTAACCCAGACAGGAGCCTCATCAAAGAAGCAAATTCCCAAATCCAGATTATAACTCCAGTTTGCCAAACAATCGGCAACACAATTCTTTTCCCTGTAAATGTGGACAAGGTGACAAGTTCCAATTTGTCGCATGAGATCACAACAACTATGCACCAAAGCAGCAACAGTGCATCTATATATTGATGCAATACCAAGTCTTTGCATACCATGCTTCACGCAATGTGTCATTTTTTTATGTGACTATATTACTGTAATAGCAAACTTGTGTCTCGCGGAAGTGTTACCAGACTATTCACACAATGAAAATTATTTCCCTAGCCAGTGCCCTTTGACCTTTTCATTCTTTTTTTTTTGGTAACAAAGAGGGCTAAGCCCAAACAACAACTAAACATAAATCAACCTAGACCTTAAAAGGCCATCCCTGTCTTCTTGGAGGACACCAGTAATACCACCAGGAGGCAAAGCAAAGCAATGAAAACCCAATTCCATCTCATGCCCCATCTTAGCCAGAGAGTCAGCAGCAAAGTTAACCTCCCTGAAAACATGAAAGATGCTGCAGTCCCAGGAACTCTTCCAATAGACTCTGCACATGTTTAGCAAAGTAAGGAGGGGGTGATATGGCTCCACCTTAGCATTCAAAAGGTGCAAAACAAGAGTAGAATCAGTTTCAACAATAAGCTTTGTCACTTGCAAACTTTGAGCTAGCTTTAGACCATGATAAGCTGTTTGAAGGCCAAGTCATAAGCTGGAATCAACCTTCTTTTGATAAGTAAACAGATTTATTCAACAAAAGTAGGTGGTGGAAATTACACGGCAAATAGAAACCGCAGAGAAGTGGACAATATAACTGTCAAACACGTAACATTGAACAAAATCATTAAAAAAAAATATCGAGATAAACTCGTTTCAAAAAATAAACCAGGGAAATCTCCAATTCACCTAAAATCGAAGATTGGTAATGCACCAATTTCATGGAGAATTCTTGTTCCTCGTGATTAGTAAGATAATAGTGGCAATGAATCTTTTGATGAAGCAGTAACACAATCCAAACCTGATCCTGTTGATTCAGAAGCAACATCCCAAGGACAGTCACAAATTACTTCGTTTCGGACATATTCAACCTCTTCCTGATTTTGTTGCAGCTTAGAACCCTTAAGTGATTTTTGAATCGCCTCCAATTCCATTGCCACTTCTTTCATTGTAGGTCGTCTCTTTCCACTTAACTCCAAACATCTCTTTGCAAGGGTAGCAACTGCCATAATGTCTTCCGTTACACCCTCCTCCTTTACTCGAGCATCAACAATATCAAGCAGACGGTTCTCCTCCATTGAAAAATTGAAATATGTAACTAGGCCTCTGGCTTCTGGTGACCTCGCTAAAGAAACCGGCTTTTCTCCGGTCAAGAGCTCAGCAAGAACAACTCCAAAGCTATACACATCGCTCTTCTCTGTAAATTGACTTGATTGGAAGTACTCTGGGTCCAAGTAACCGAATGTTCCATGTACTATTGTGGTAAGGTGTGTTTGCTCAATGGAAACGGATCTTGAAGTCCCAAAATCTGCAACTTTTGCTCTGTACTTTTCATCTAAGAGTATGTTTGTCGACTTGATATCCCTGTGGTAAATTGGAAAACCCGCTGCTGAGTGTAAGTACGAAAGAGCTCCTGCAACTTCTGCCGCAATCCTTAAGCGCATTTGCCATTTAAGTAGAAACTCCTCATTTTGTTGATGGAGATACTGATAGATAGTCCCTTTGGGAATGAATTCATAAACCAAAAGAGGAACTTCGGTCTCCAAGCAGCAACCCAGGAGCATAACCACATTCCTGTGGTTAATTTGTGAAAGAATGACAATTTCATTGATGAACTGTGCAACTTCACCTCCATCAACTACTTTAGACTTCTTTACAGCAACAATTCTTCCATCCGTCAACATTCCTTTGTAAACGGTACCTTGGCCTCCCTGGCCAAGAATTCTATCTACATTAAAATGGTCTGTGGCTGTCTCTAACTCCTTTGAATTGAACAACTTAATCTTCTCAACATTTACTTCACCAGAAGACAATTGTTGCTCCAGCAGTAAACCACCATTTTGTTTAAATAACTTCGCCTTCCGTTTAATGGCTTTTCTTTTCTTTATGACTTTGGACAACCACCAGGAAGCAATGAGCAGAAACAAGAATCCAAGACCGCTGCCGATACCTGAACAACTCAACAAAATAAGAAAGGATAACTTCAACTTGTCAAGTAGATATTGTTTGCTATTACATATATAACCAAAACTATTTTACTTTTTTTTTTCTTTCTGAAGGAGAACTAGTGGAGGAGATGCTAAGATCTCAATCTCTGGATTATGTTGAGTTTCATTATGCTTCTGGGAATTGTTATATGGTTGCTCTTCTTGTTTGTACCATATTTGGAACACTTCTATTAATCGAAAATCATCTTGGCAATTCTAGATTATGCATTCTTATAAAAGGGTGTAGACTTTGTGGTGCAGGGGCATACCTATAAAGATGACTTTAACCTTCGAGTTGCTCTTCGGTGGGGGGTAGCATCCGTAATCCCCAGCCGAATTCACACATACGAAGGGTTCAGAACAGTGGTGGTCGAGAAGCTCACATTCGTTGATGTCTGGATTAATATGTATTGAAACAAATTTAAAATGATGGTAAAATCACCCGCCATTAGAGATTATTTCTATAAAGCATGGACAATGGTGTTAGAGGTTTACCTTGGCATCCGTCAAGAAGATAGGGATTTCCTTCGAAGCCGAATTCGCAATAACATTCAAGCCTTAAGGATTCATATATGGAAGAGCTGTCATTGTAGCTTCGTCAAGTAGATATTGTTTGCTATTACATATATAACCAAAACTATTTAACTTTTTTTTTTTTTTTTCTGAAGGAGAACTAGTGGAGGAGATGCTAAGATCTCAATCTCTGGATTATGTTGAGTTTCATTATGCTTCTGGGAATTGTTATATGGTTGCTCTTCCATTAATTTATTCATCTTAGCAATTCTAGATTATGCATTATTATATCAGAGGGTGTAGACTTTGTAGTGCAGGGGCATACCTATAAAGATGACTTTAACCTGCGAGTTGCTCTTCGGTGGGGGGGAGCATCCATAACCCCCATTAACATTCATACATATGTTGGGTTCAAAACACCGGGTGGGAAGCTCGCATTCGTTGATGTCTGGATTAATATGTAATAGAAAAAATTAAAATTATGGTAAGATCACCTGCCATTAGAGATTATTTCTGTAAAGCATGGACAATGGTGTTAGAGGTTTACCTTGACATCCTTCAAGAAGATAGGGATTTCCTTCATAGCCTCCTCCGCAGGAACATTTAAGCCTTAAGGATTCATTTATGGAATAGCTGTCATTGTAGGTGTCACAAATAGGCCGGGATGAGATCATCGTTGCATTTACTTCCAAAAAGGTTCCATACACATCGGTTGAGGAGTGAAATAAGCTCCATTCTAGCACCACCGGAACATTGTCCATATCTCTGATGGCAGAAAAGTTTCTTGAATTGTTGGCAAACCAATCACGGTCGGCCAAGAATGCGTAATTGCATGAACTCCGTGTTTGATTTTCAAAAATCTGGAAACTGGTATTGAAGTCAAAGAGAAATGAAGGGAGGGCTGTCTGGCAGCTATTATGTCCGCTACTATTATTTGTCGAAATGCTGCATTCGGACTTGCATCCACTTGAAATGGTGTCGCCATTTGAGTTTGAGGTGATCGTGGCCATAACACCACAACCCACTGCAGTGAATATGTTCTTCTGGGAATATGCAAAAGGGGTTCCCTCCAAATTGGCTGTTTGGCCGCTGTTTGGCTTGTTGGTGCAATTAGAGAAGGTGATTGGGTTTTTGACCTTTAATGTGCCTTCCTCCACTGAAATTTCTAGCACCTCCAGATTGGTACGGTTCAAGAAAGGTTTCGGATTTTCAGTAGAGTTGTCACAGATTATTTGGAACCAGCCGTCGTTAATGTAACAACCTGTTCCAATTCCAAAAGGATATGGGATTTCAATGCCGCCGCAATTCGATTGACAGTTAGGCTTTGATATGGGTGGTTGTGCTAGGACTGGATTACTCATAGACCACCACAGCAGAGTAAACAGAGTAATATGGGAAAGCAACTGGACAACCATTCTGCTTTTCCTTCCTCTATTTTTTACCTATATCTGCAGCTTCTAGTAGGAAGCTTGGAGTTAGCTAGCAAAGCCAATGATTTTCAACTCCCAATCTTCCGCAGAATAAATATAAAGAAGGTGTAGAGATAGCCTTCTAGTAGCCTGCCATAGTTGACAATATTATTGCAAAAATAATAAGTTCTAGTAATGATATAGTCAAAATTCAAATTACAAAATATCAGTCAAAATGAAGAAAAATTAATCAGTAATTGAGAAAGACAAGGCCATGAAGGGAATCAATTGTTGGCCATGTCTGATTTGTGAATGGGGACTTCTGATTTGGGAAGGTCCTGTCGATAGGCCATGAAGGGAATCAATTGTTGGCTAGGATTTATGTTATGATTGAGCTGTGTGGAAAAAGTAAACCTAAGCAGCCAGACTTGACTGTAATCGATTCTACTAATCGTTTGTGTAGGGCATGGGGATTTCTGCGTTATCTTGTGTGGATAAAAAATGCTTTTGCAGAATAATATTATCATGCATTCCTCTTTCTTCTCTGTTTCCAAGTTGTTGTTTGCCAAGATGTCCAACTCAACATATGTGATGAAAAGAAAATGATGAAATTGAAAAGTAAAAGATTCTCAAACAAAAAATTTCTTTGCAACTTAGTCTTCACGACGGAAACAAATTGAAGGGTACTTTTCTTTTGGTAACGTGTGTGGAAATTGTGTGTGTAGAACTGTCATGATTGTCTGTCTAATATAAGACTCTGGTAATAGAAAATTGAAACTTCGTGGCCCATTTCAAGAATGACCCCAAATCTTTAGGGGGTAAAATGATGTTAGCCCAATTTTTAAAAAGTTTTTCTATTTAAACCCTGCACTTCTCTTTGTTCACCCCATATTCCAAGTTCACCCCAACTTCTAATTCAAATTTTGATAATTTCTACGAGAACCCCACTATCTTCCCAAACTACCCCTAAATACACACCCAGTAGGAAAAAAAAAAAACTCGTCAACCCCATACCCCACACCCCGCTATCTTGCCTGCTAGTTTTAGGAGAATTTGGAGTTTGGAGTCTTCAGGATTGTTTTCTCGCAATTCATTCTAAAAGCACATTTTGGACAATCCCTCTATTTCTCTTTTCACACCTTGTCAAACAAAAAATTTCTTTGCAACGTAGTCTTCACGATGGAAACAAATTGAAGGTACTTTTCTTTTGGTAACGTGTGTGGAAATTGTATATGTAGAGCTGTCATGATTGTCTGTCTAATATGTCTGGTAATAGAGAATTGAAGTCTCCTTGTGTGTGGGAGCTTTATTACACCTAAAATGGACCCCACAAAGTGACAAATCATACATTTTATAAATCATTTACTAACTCTTGTACGTGAACCCTTAAATATTTCTTTGCTTTCTCTATTGACCAACTTGTAGAGTATCTCACACCAAAAGGATGGAAGGTTAGCTTAAAAGTCTAAGAGATCACTACTACGTTTTACTATTTGCGCGACGATAGTTTGCGCGACGAAGCACAAATCGTAGCATATAATATCATCGCGCGACGGACAAACATATGCGTAGCGCAAAAACGGGCGACGAAGAAAATTTGTCGCGCAAAACAACTTCGCGCGACAGAAAAAACGACCGTCGCGTAAAACTAGGGGAAAAAACCGCGAACAAATATTCTGGCGCCAAATCCTTGCGCGACGAGTAGACTCGTCGCAAATGAGATCTTTGCGCGACAAATTATTTCTCTGTCGCGCAAAAAGGTGGAGGGAAAATAAAGCAGATATGGCGCGAATATGTTGCGCGACAACAATGCAAAATTTGGCGCACTTCGTCTTTTGCGACGTGAACTGACGTCGTCGCGTAAGAAAAACGCGCTAAAGCTAACTTTTGCGCGACGACTTTTGGGATTTGCGCGACGAAAATACTTAATCGTCGCGTATAATCGCTGTCGGCAGACTGGTTTTTGCGCGACGATAAGGATTAATGCGACGAGCAATGTCTTCGTCGCGCAAAAATCTTCAGCTTTGCGCCACGACATAGAGGCTTTGGGCGACGACTATGTTTTCGTCGCGCGAATATTCCCATTTTTGCGCGACAATAATTTTTTTTGCGAGACGAATAGTGTTCGTCGCGCAAAAAAGTCGTCTTCTACTTTATCGGGTTCAGCCATGGCAGAGGCAAACTGCAAAAAAAAATTGCAGCTTGCCTCTCCCTCTCTCTTCCTCCTCTTCCTCTCTCTCGAACGTTTTGGGCCCAAAAAGGTATTCAATTTCGTTTCCTGTATGAGTTGAACTACCTCTACCACTGCTAAGTTCGTTCGGTATGTATTTTTTGTCATTAGTGTAAAAGTGTTAATGTAAATTTATACTAATACTATAAATTTCGTTGTCTATAGGGATATTATATGTGATTAGCGATTGGTGGAGAACGATTGATAAGGTATTTTCGTCGTTTTATAATTTAAAATAAAAAATTTATTACATTATGTTTATATTGATTTATGAAATTATATTTATAATATGTTGTTAAATTATGTATGTACGTTAATGTACGAGGTTAATTGAAATTAACTTCGTACATTTTTTTTTGTAAAGCTTAGTTCCCGTTTGAGGTTAGTTGGACCGCGCATGGGTGGGTAAACCACGACTACGGTCCAATTAATTCTTGAATTGTCCCATATTTTGGACAGTTTGGAAATGCATAGTCGTGTCACGTAGTTTACAGCTACAGGATTAGGTTTCGATTGTGGAGATTTCGGTGTCATCTCGGTACGTTCTTCGGGTGGTACGTAGGTATTTTATATCTACGGTACACCTCAAGAACTGTACCGAGATGCTGCCGAAATTCATCCACGTCGAAATCTAATCTCATGTAGCTGTAAATTACGTGACGTGACTATGCATTTCCGAATGGGATAGGACCCTTACCGGAGGCATAAGGAAAGATTTTGTACGAATACAACATAATTGTTGTATTGTCATTATGATTCCAGGAACGATGAGCAGGAGGTGGATACAGAACCCGAATAGGTGCGCAGACGAATATTTGGATGGAATCGAGGATTTTATTGACTTTGCACAGACACACAACCCGGGTGCAACTAGAATTCGGTGTCCTTGTAGGAGCTGTAACAACACGTTGTGGGACACAATTGAAAATGTTCGATTTCATTTAGTGAGGAATTGAATGATTGAGACATACATCGCTTGGAACCATCACGGGGAACAGTTAGACATTGCTTCATCTTCAGGGGCCACAAGAGTAGACAATGTTGAACCCATTGTGGATCCTAATGAACAAGTCAGGGATATTATAAATGATGCATTTCCATTTGCATCGACCAGCAGCAATCAGCAAGGTGAAGATGATGTGCCTACACAAATGGACAGTGCAGAGTTCGAACAGTATGAAAACCTGTTAAGAAATGCCAACCAAGAGTTATACCCGGGG